CAAATATGACCTGAAGGTACAGCAAATGCACATTATGAGCATGAAGGCCGCGGCAACGCCCGTGTGCCGCCGACGGCTATACGCCGTCTCCCGGCCGAACTACTTATTTCCTCGGCAACCACCGAACAATATAGCCTGAATATCACTTTTAACTGATTTAAAACACAACCACACGAACAATATTGCTATCTTCTGAAGACACCCTAACACAACCCACGGCCACCCGAGGCCACGCTCGATAGGCGCGGGCGTCGGCTAGGGCCATTTCATCGGCTATACCTCATCTTAACTCAACAACCTGATCATACTGAACACATAATGGACTAAACTGAACATTTAAATGATTATGGTTCGAAAGTTGCCGAGAGAAATCAAAGATTGTTCGGTGATAATCTTCCTCAAACACGTTCGGCCTTTACAGGATTTTATTCAAAATTCTCGCAATTAATCCGAACGTTTAACGCTGAAATGACTTAATCACTATGAACATGAACTGAGGAGAAGTTTACCTCACCAATCGCTCGATGGAAATTCGAAACTAAACGTGGCTTCCTTCCTCGCGTGACTCCGTGCACAACCCTCACCCTTGATGGGGGATGATTAGTGACGATAGGTTGATGTGGCTTTCTTAGCTTCTAACATTTGTTCTCATTTGGGATAATTACATGATGACTAATCCCTTCTCAAGCCTTGCTAAATTGCCACGTATCATAGTTAATTGATGAGGGAAAATTATTTTCCTTGCGTGAAAGGAAGCTCACGGCTTTGCTCAATTTGTGGAGAATTTCTCCCTAAGTCACGGCCTTTAGTGCTTTATTAGGGTTAATCACTAATTAACCCTAATCTTGATGTTTAATTATTAATTAAACATAGTACTTAATTACCAAAATTTATTCCGAACGTAAACGGTACGTCGAAAATCAATTTCGGTAATCCCGACTGAACTTAATTAATCCCGAAAATAATAACCGATAAACATTATTATATCGGAATTAAACATAATTTATACCGATTAAAATATCGGGATATTACAAGGGATACCCCTATTTATAGGTGCATATAATAAATCTAAGCCTAGTCTAATTAGATCTTCTAATTCTATAATGAAAAGCAACATGGTAATAAAATCCTAATACTACTATAATTATTCTTGCTTGACTTGCACTCAAATCCAAAGTCTTGAGCTCCAAGTCATGCACATAAAAATCCCTCGGCCGCCTCATAACCGCGCACGCCAAACCCTAGTTGCCTTTGGACACGTGCCGCCCTTCGGTTGCCTACTCCTAGTTGCGCGCGGCTTTGCGCGCGCGCGTGATGACGGATCGTATTTTTTATCTATTTTTGGTTGTGAATAATCGTGCACTCAGGGCCTTCGATTACTCATGATAGGTATATCTAACAGATGCACTCGGCCTTCTCCTAGACACTGTGACTTCAAGACGCTCTTATGGCCTTCTCTCCGACGCTGTATGTAAACACGCACTAACGGCCTTGTTTAAACACACGTAAGAACAACAGCTCCCTCTCACAATTGTCTCACCAATTCAAGACTCAACATTCAACTCTCTTAATTATGAAGAGTACATGGGGTATTTATAGGTGCAAAAATAAATCTAAGCCTAGTAGATCTAGATCTCCGAAATCTTGCAATAATAGAAATTCTAACACTAGAAAGCAATAAAATCCTAATATTACTATAATTCTAATGTCTTGACTTGCACACCAAGTAGCTTGATGCCCAAGTCACAAGCCCCAATTACTCTCACCGCCTTCCATACGCGTCGCGCGCTGCCTTCGGCACTTTCCTACACCTTGGCGCGCGAGGCATCGCGCGCCTTGTCGCTGTTGCACGCGCGCGCCCTAGCGCGCACCCCGTCCATGCCGCCGTTACCTGCGCGTGCGTCCCCCTCGCGTACGTCGCCTAATCCTGCCCCGCCTAGGACGTCCGCGCCTGTGCTGCACTCGCACTCTATCGCGCGCTCCCCGCTGTTGCCATTCTTCCCGCGCGCGTCCGCTCCGTTACCCGCTACTCCTTCGCCTACACGGCATAGGCCATCGCCCGCGTCGCCCCACTTGCCACTGCCTGCGAACCCCGTGCCATAGCCGACTTCCTCGCATGCGTGCGCCCCTGACGATCCTAAGCCTTCAAGGCCTAGGCGGTTGCCTGCGTCCTCACCACTCGCGCGCCCCTCACGCCCTTCGCCTGATGCTCTGCGCGTGCCGCCAGTCTCCGTGGCCTGCTCGTCTACCACGCAACCTCGTGCGCCCGCTTGATGAAGATCATGTGTTTCGACTGCTGATAAGCCACAAACCAGTGCCTTGAATCGTCGATAGTTGCCTAGAGGTTCACAAACTGCACCCCTCTAAACGAATAAAATTGCAATAGAAATCTAGAAGAAATCTAAGACAAAGTGTTTGAACAAAAGTTTGGATTTTTATTGATAAATTCGATGATGAAAAATAACATAGGGAAGGGGCCTTTATATAGGCACAAAATATATCTAGTCCTAATCTACCTAGAGATTTATTAAAGCAATAAAATATTAGAAATCCTAATTAAGCTAGAAATTATAAAGCAATACGTAAACTAAATAACTTGGCTTGCACTCCAAGTTGGGAAGAAGGATCTAGGGAAATTTCAGCTCAAAAAGCCTTCTAGAAGTCCCACTTTCTTGCTCGCCAAGTCTGCCCGCGCGCTGCTCCTGGCTGCTGCCCGTGCGCGCTGCTGCCCTGCGCGTGCGTGCAGGCTACTTGATACGGAAGTGGTAATCGAGCCCGAAGAATGTGAAGATTGGTCGGGCATGGCCAATAGGCGAATAGGCGAGAGGCGCGCATCGGGTGGTGATGCGCGGGCATTGGGCGTACACGTGCGCACCATGCGCGAAGGTGGCCGGGACGCGCTGGCGTGGGACAGCGGAGGCGCTGGGCGCAATGGACGTACGGGTGACGTACACGCGGGCGGAGTCCTCGCTCGCATAGGAAAGCCAGGCGCACGGCTACACACACGCAAGGAGATCGGGCGGTAGAAAGTGCGCGCACTAGCGCGCGAGTGCGACGCAAGCACGAACGTCCTAAGTAGCGCGAGCATAGGAGAGGCAGGCGCGCACGCGCGGGAGGAAGGCGGCGGATGCTGGGTGTGCGAGACCACATGGCGCGTACGGAGCGGGCGAACGAAGCCTAGTCCGCGCGGGACTAGGCAAGACAAGGGCGACACGTCGTGCGGGACAAGGCGTCGAGGCGGTGGGCTTAGGGCGGCCGGTTGGAGTGGTGTGCAAGTAACTTGGAGATCAAGACCTTCTAATTTATTAGGATTCTACTAGATATTTATTTTCCTTATTGCTTTACAATATCTAGATTGTATAGGTTACTTAATATTTAATTGTTTTAATTAGAGGTTTAGTTGGAATAGGATTTATTTACTGCACAGTTTAGGAGATCTAGTTAGATTAGAATTAGATTTAGTTTTCTCCTATAAATACCTATGTCCTCTTGTTATTTTTCATAGATGAATGAATTGAATCTTTGAGTAGTCTTTGTTAGTAGAAAATCCAGAACTTTTGTTCAAACACTTTGCTTTAGTCTTCCACCAAAATTTTATTGCAATTTTATTCGTTCCAAGAGGCGCGGGCGTGGCTCGAAGAACACCTACCGGCGATTCAAGGCGCGGGCTAGCGGCTTATCGACAGTCGGGACACGCGATCTTCATCATTGGTGCTTTCATTGAGAGGGTTTAGATCGTGTGTCTTTTTCTTCCCCATTCTTTTTCTTTCTCTCTTTTTATTTTTTTCGTTCGATTTAAAAAAATAAAAAAATAAAATTAAATTATTATTATATATATATTAGTGTGTGCGTGAGTATATAATATATATTATATTTATTATATATATATATATATATATTTGCGTGCGTGAGTTTTTTTTTTTTAAAAAAAGT